AGCTCGCAGGGATCTCCATCACCTTTCCCTTCCACAGGACATCACACTGGCCCATTACATGGGCGACATTATACCGATTGGACCTAGTGAGCATGAAGTAGAAACCACTCTGGACTTACTGGTGAGACACTTACCTGTCAGAGTGGGAAATAAATTCAGGCGTCTTTTGTTTCAATGAGATTCTAGGGGTCCAGTGGTGTGGGGCAGGTCAAGATATACCTTCCAAGGTGAAGGATAAGCTGTTGCATCTGGAACCTCCTGCAACCAAGAGAGAGACACAGCACCTAGTGGGCCCATTTGGATTTGGAGGCAACACATTCCTCATTTGGGTGTCCCGCTCCGGCCCACTTACCCAAAAAGCTGCTAGTTTTGAGTGGGACCCAGAACAAGAGAAGACTTTTTGACGGGTCCAGGCTGCTGTGCAAGCTGCTCTGCCACTCGGGCCATGTGGTCCAGCAGACCCAGTGGAGTTTGAACGGGCAGAAGCAGAGAGCAATGCTGCCTGGAGCCTCTGGCAGGCCCCCACAGGGGAGCTGGAGCTCAGGCCTTGGGAATTCTGGAGCGAGGCCCTGCCATCATCTGCAGATAACTACTCTCCTTCCCAGAAATAGGTCTTGGCCTGCTACTGGGACTCCATAGAAACTGAACGCTTGACCATGGGCCACCAAGACACCATGTGACCTGAGCTGCCCATCCTGAACTGGGTGTTATCTGACCCAGCAGGACATAAGACTGGGCGTGCACAGCAGCACTCCATCATCAAACGGAAATGGTATATACATGATCGGGCCCGAGCACGTCCTGAAGGCACAAGCAAGTTACATGGAGAAGTGGCCCAAATGCCCACGGTTCCTACTCCTGCTGCACTGCTCTCTCCCCCAGCCTGCACCTGTGGCCTCACGGGGAGCTCCCTGTGAGCAGCTGACAGAGGAAGACAAGGCTAGAGCCTGGTTCACAGATGGTTCTGCATGACATGCAGGCACCACCCGAAAGTGGACAGCTGCGGCACTGCACCCCTTTTCTAGGACATCCCTGAAGGACAGTGGTGAGGGCAAATCTTCTCAATGGGCAGAAGTTCGGGCAGAGCACCTGGCTGTGCACTTTGCTTAGAAGGAGAAATGACCAGATGTGCGATCATATACTGATTCACGGGCTGTGGCCCATGGTTTGGCCAGATGGTCAGGAACATGGAAGGAACACGATTGGAAAGTTGGTGGCAAGGAAGTTTGGAAAAGAGATATGTGGATAGACCTCTCTGAGTGGGCAAAGGATGTGAAGATATTTGTTCCCCATATGAATCCCACCAAAGTGACCTCAGCAGAGGAGGATTTTTTATTTTTTAATTGAGTTTTTGATTTTTTAAAACTTTTTTGATTATTTTTAATAATCAAATGGACAGGATGACCCATTCTGTGGATACTAGCCAGCCACTTTCCTCAGCCACCCCTGCCATCGCACAACAGGCTAATGAACAAAGTAGCCATGGGTATTTGGTTCTGTCTCTCTGGAGAACCCTAATATAGCAGCTATCTGGGCTTCCCTTAGCCCAGCCAAGTTGACACCTAAAATTAACACAATCCCCCGAGGAAATGAGGCCATCCAGAATTTGCTCGAATTGGGTGAATATGTTATAAGTGAATTGACACTGAATGAGTGGATTAGAGCTGGACAGTGCAGACCATAGAGCGTGCTGCTACGCCCTGACTGCCCCACAGGACTGAGGCCCTGGGACAACCAGCTGCCCTTGGCTCACAGCGGTTGCCCTCCCAGGAAATACCCTTGGCCAGAAGAAGCTGCCTCACCCAAGGTTTTGCCCCACCCTGGTGACCACCTGTCCCCAACGAATGCCTGATAGAGGGAGCAGGTTAGCTCCTTCATGTCAGCCCCCGACATCTCTGAAGGGCCCCTGAGCTCCAGCAATGCCCCCAGATCATCTGCAGCCTTCTTGGGAGTGGAAGGTAGCTCAGGCCCTCCTTGTCTTACTGGCGTTGTCCCCAGAGTGCTCACCCCTGCACCTGTGGCCTGCACACATGTGTCTCAGTGTCTTTCTCAGGGAGCCTGACCTCAGACCTCAGACTGTTTCCAAACAACAGCTTCCAAAGCATGTGTCCAGGTTTCCAGCTCTGCTGATGTGGTACAGGACCCCACGTCCAGGACCCGAGGGAATTTCTTGTCCCACAGAGCTGACACTAGTGGTGTGCACTGGCATGGCCCTGATGGTTGTTAAAACACCAAACTCCTTCCTTACTGATTAGTAAATAGGCCCTGCCTCGAGCCTCCAGGTATCCCCAGGAGGCCACCCCAGCCCTTCCCCCAGTTCCAAGCAGTGTACACAGAGAATTTCTGGAAGAGTGCTGTGGCCAGGCCCGCTCTGATTGGTTGGCACCTGCACCGATCTGCTGCGGGTGCCCTAACAAAGCACTGTGACTGGGAAGTTCAAACAAAGACATTTATCTGTCACCATTCTGGAGGCCTGAGCCCAAGGTCTAGGTGGCAGCACGGTGGGGTGGGTTTCTTCTGAGGCTGCGAGACAGAACCTGCTCCAGACCTGTCTCCAGATCTCGGGTTTGCTGGCCATCCTTGGCATCCCTTGGCTGGTAGAAGCATCGGTCTAATCTCTGCCCTCACCTTCACATCGTGTCTGCAAGAGGGGCAAAGAGAAAATGCCTGCGAAGCTGAGACGGTGTCTCGAGATGGAAAAAGGAAGCTGGCACTTCCATGCAGTGTATGAGTCCAGTCCTGTTGCTTATAACAGAAACACCCGAAACTGGGTAGTTTGTAAAGAAACAATACTTATGGCTTACAGGTTCAGAGGCTGGGAAGTCCAAAGTCCAGGGACACATCTAGTGACAGCCTTCTGTGGTGGTGCCCTCAGCGCCGCAGGGTGTCACATCCTGAAAAAGGCAGAAGAGAGAGAGACCCTCATGTACTCTCCTCCCAAAGCCAAAAGAACCCCACCCTTGGCCACCATTCAACCATCAGTGGATTAATCCATTCACCAAGGCACGGTCCTCACAATCAATCACCTCGTCGGGGCCCCACCTCTCAATGACCATCACAGGATTTCCACTCCCCGCAGTTACTGTGGGGATCAAGCCTCACTGAGCTTTGGAGACGTCCAATCCACAGCACAGTGAGGCAAAGAATTGTAATTAAGAGGCAATTTGCTTACGGGACACAGGGTGTGGGGGTATGACGAGCCAGGAGCTACACAGTTTCCCCACACCACCTCCTGGTGGAGCCCAAGCTTACACAGGCAGCTCACAGGAAAAGCGGAAAAGACCAAGAAGCAATTACTAAGGAGGACACAGGCTAACGTCACTACTCACGACAACGATTGTTATCTTTGATGGTCTTGTGATGCAGGTAACTGGACCTGTTCTTACCATATCAGCACTTTGTCATTAGGTCCCCTCTTTCTAGTCAGCAAGCCATTCCGACCTTCTGTCGTAACTGCTTACCCCTGGCTACCGTGGGAGGGCCGTGGGCAGGGCTCACACCAAGGACGCAGCAAGTGGCGAGGGCTTCGAGATGGAGTGAGTTGTGCTCACAGTCCCACACGGCGTTCCCCCTGTGTGCATGTCTGTGTCCGAATTTCCCTGGTTTATAAGGACACCAGTCATACTGGAGCAGGGCCTGCCCTAATGACCTCATCTTAATTAGTTACATCTGCAACGGCCCTATTTCCAAATAAGGTCACATTATGAGGTACTGGAGGTTAGGACTGCAACATAAATTTAGGGGCTGGGGGGAAGCCATTCAACCCATAACATCACCCGCCTGTCATGGAATCAGAACAGCAGGTGCATTGGGTTTTGCCAGAGGATTCGATTCTCATGGCTCTAGGAGACACGGCACTGGGAAGCACTCAGGTGCTCCTGCAGGCCACGGGGGCTCAGGGCCTCCCAGGACAGGCCCCGGCTAGGGGCTCTGTACACAGCCTGGTGGGGTGAGGTGAGCCCTCCCTTATGCGTGGACACCCACATTCTGTCCCACATGACCTTATACCCCTGGGCCACTGCAGAGGGACTCGGGGTCTGGCCAGCAGCCTTAGACATGTTCGAGGTTGGCCCATGAGCCATCACATGCTCTTTCTCTGGAACTTGAGTGGGATGTGCGAGACAAGCAGCAAAAGAACCAGATCTGCATCACCACCCCTGGAGGACACGCTCCCCAGGAGGCAAAACAGAGAGCAGCCACCTCCTGAGCTTCCCTGTGTCCTGGTCCAACCAGACCGGGTGTCCCACTGTCCTAGGCCCTGTGACTGGAGATCTGTCCCTCGTAACCACAAGATCCTCACACAATCCCCTCACCAGGGCCAAAGCTCCCATAGGGGAAAAGATTTCCTTTCTCACCCATTGCTAGGTTCACGGCTGCGGCACTTACAACAAAAGACAGATTAACAAGAGAAAAGCAGACAAATCTATCTAATGCAAGTTTCACAGGATACAAGAGCCTTTAGAAATGAAACCCAAAGGAAGAGGGAGGGCTGTGTATTTTTGTGCTAAGTTTAATGAGGAGTGGACAGTCATGCAGAAATATGATTGGACAAAGGGGGTCTGATCTAATGGTAATAACCTGGGGGGGATTGGCAAGGCCCTGGTGTGTGTTTTGTGCTGCTATAACAGAGTAACACAGACTGGGTTGTTTATAACCAACAGAAATTTATTGGCTCACAGTTCTGGAGGCTGGGAAATCCAAGGTCAAGGGGCTGGTATCTGGTGAGGGTCTTCTTGCTGCGTCATCCTGAGATGGAAGGGCAAAGAGAGGGTGAGAGAGAGAGCAGAGATCAAACTCACAGCCTAAGACCCATTATAATCAGCATCAATCCACTCATGATGGTGGAGCCCTAGTGACCTAAACACCTGCCGTTAGGCCCCACCTTGCAACGCTGCTGCCCTGGAGATTCAGTTTCCAACATATGCCTTTTGGGGGACACATTTTTTTCCTTTTTGTGGGGTGGCTGTTTGGAACGGTGGGGAACACCTTTAAACCACAGCATTCTGCCCTGGCTTCCAAAATTCATGTCCTTCTCACATGCACAAAACATTTAGTCCATCCCATTAGACCCTAAAGTCTTTACTTGCTCCAGCACAAATTCAAAAGTCTAAAATCCAGAGTCTCATCTAAATCAGATATGGGTGAGACTCATGATTCATCCTGAGACACATTCCCTCCAGCTGTGAGCCTGTGAAACCAAAACAAGTTACAAGGGTGGGACAGGCATGGGACAGATATTCCCATTCCAAAAGGGAGAGACAGGAAAGAAGGAAAGCATAACAGGTCCCAAGTAAGTGCAAGACCCCACAGGGACAACAGTATTAAGTCTTGAAGCTCGAGTATAATCTCCTTGGACTCCATTTCCTGCATCCTGGGCAACCAGGGCAGGGGTCGAGCCTCCTAGCCCTCAGGCAGCCCCACCCCCACAGCTTTGATGAGGTCAGTCCACCCAGCAGCTCTCATGGGTCGTAGTCTCATTCCTGCAGCTCTCCCAGGTTGGTATTGCATGCCGGTGGCCCTACAGTTCTGGGGTCGTGGGGCAGCCCTTCCTCCCCAGCCCCACTAGGCCCAGTGGGGACTCTCTGTGACAGTTCCACCCCCACCATTCCCCTGGGCATTTCCCTAGATGGGACTTTCTGCAGTGACGTGGCTCCTGCAACAAGTTTCTGTTTGGGCCCCCAGGCTATTTGCTACATCTTCAGAAATCTAGGTGGAGGGAGCCATGCCCCTACAGCTCTTGCACTTGTGGATGCTGCCAAGGTTTTGCCTTCTGAAGCTACAGCCTAAGCCACACTGGGGGTGACCAACGAGTGAGAGAGCAGAGACGTGAAGCATCCTGGGCAGCAAGCCTCAAGTTCCCAAAGGCACCCTCTCTCTTGATATAATTCCTTCCCCCAAGACTTGACAGGCCAGGCCTCTGATGGGAGGAGCACATCAGTAATCTCTGAAGTTCCGTTGTCCTGGTGAATAGTCTCTGGCTTTGTTCTAGCCACACTAATCTCCTTACCCAATGGTCACCTGGCCACATCCTCGGTTTCCTCTCATGAAAATCTTCTTTCATTCTCTATCACACGGCCAGGCTGAGAATCCTTCAAATCCCTAAACTCTCCTTCCTTGTTCATTATAAATTCCATCTTCAAATCATTTCTCTCTTCCCTCATTTTACTGTATGCAGTTTGCTGGGTCAAATGTGTCCCCCAAAAGTTCATTTGCTGGAAACTTGATCCTTATTGTAACAGTGTGAAGATGGTAGAAAATCTGATTATGGTAATCTGAAAGGTGGGGCCTTTGAGAGGTGACTGGCTCTTGAGGACTGTGCCCTTGTGAACGGATTGATCCACTCATGGAACAACAGGTTGATGGTTTAACTGGCTGTCATGGGTGTGGTTCTGATGGCTTTATAAGGAGAGCAAGTGAGAAGGTTAGTTCTCTTGCTCAGGCCCTTCTCACCGTGAGATACCCTATGTTGCTGTAGAAAGTCAGCACCAAGAAGAAGACTCCCACCAGCTGTGTCCCCTGGACTGTGGACTTTCCAGCCTCCAACACTGTAAGAAATATATTTCATTTCTTTATAAATTACCCAGTTTCAGGCATTCTAAGTAACAGAAACAGACTGATACACAATCAAAAGAAACCACACAGCTCCTTCGATATTTTGCTTAGAAATTTCCTCCACTGGATATCCTAGTTCCTCTCTCTTATTAAGTTCTGTCAAGCTCTTTGCCACTTTATAACTAGGAAGGCTTTTTCTCCAGTACTCATACTGTAGTGAATTGAATTATGTTCCCCCAAAACTCCCTGAAGCTTGAATTGTGTCCCCCAAGTTTTATGTATTAGAAACTTAGCCCCCACTGTTACTGTTAAGAGGGTGGGAAATCCTATTATGGTAATTGAAGGGTGGAGCCTTGAAGAGGTGACTGGATTGCAGGACCCTGCAGTAGTGAATGGATTAACAATGGTGGTCAGGGGCGTGGTTCTGAGGACTTTAAAAGAGGAGGAGAGTCTGTCTTTCATGCTCTCTGCTCTCTCTGCTTCCACCATCTTGTGGATCCTTGAAGAGGTGACTGGATTGCAGGACCCTACAGTAGTGAATGGATTAACAGTGGTGGTCAGGGGCGTGGTTCTGAGGGCTTTAAAAGAGGAGGAGAGTCTGTCTTTCATGCTCTCTGCTCTCTCTGCTTCCACCATCTT